TTGGGGGGGGGGGGGGGGGGGGGGAATAGACGCCTTGGAAGCAGAGACGTGACTAAATCCTCCTGTGAAAATCATTGAATTCACCAACATGTCACACGTTCTTGCCTTTCCCAAATAGGTTTATTGATTTTTCTCTTTTAAGATGTTTTAGACCTGTCCCTTGGGTACAAACACTGTATTAATTCTGGCTACAGGGCGATCAATATGAATGGCTTGCAGGGTACTGTTTGATAAAACCAGCATCATCAGCTACTTTACTTTGAATTCGTTGAACATGGCATCCTTACCCCAGGATATTTTTTTAAATATTTTTTTAACTAGGCCTGGTTATCCCTGATGAAAAGAGAATAAAAGCAACAACATTACTATCTGTTAAGTCGTTTTTTGTTATCTACCTCACAGAATGTTGCATTGGACCTCCCCTGAATGTCGGCAGCCTATTTGTAGATTATTTTGTGTTACAACTTTTTCTTCAAAATAAATGTGTAAGACAGAGAGCGAGATGGCAATGGAGTGAAGTCAGTGACATGCACATTAAAGCAGCTGAGCAGTGAGCGTGATAGAATCAGTTTATCCTCTACAAACTTTCTTCCCTCACTTTATCTACCGCAATCCCAATCCTCAATTTTCCGTCTTTCAAGTTATTGAAATTTCAGTTTCGACGACCTTTCCAGTTTAGATCCTGCTGCTTGTGGGGGCCAGGAAATGCACAGCGATGCCCTAGACTGGTGCATCGGAGACAAAACGTGTGATGTTAAGATCAGGGCGTGCCTCAGGGGAGAAGACGAGAAGATATAATGTCAGATTTCTCATTCTTCTGGTATGTTCTATTACACTGGTGTGTGCTTGTATTGCTACATGGGAGTGGATAGAGTAAACAGTGAGCCTTGTTAAGGGGGGGCTACAGACAGGGATCAGCAGGTCGTGGACGATCGTATACGATGGAAGAGTAAAGGCTGCATAAAGATGAAGGGATTGTGGTCATGATTCATCTGCTGGTGGCAGTGAATGTATGCCGTGGAAAAAGCCATGTGTTGAGGAAAGGAGTAAAGGAGCATTGAACTGGTGAGGAAGGTACAGTACTTTGAAAATAGATCTAAATGGACGGAGAATTCATAATATATATACTAGGATTACAGCATTGCAGTAGTATGCCTCCACCAACCAGTCGAATTGCAGTTTATATCCATGTCTGTACAAAATGTCATCACTTTATCCTTATAAATATGTAATAGAAAATGTCCTAATTGTCTTCTGAAGAGTGGTAGTAATAACAAGTAGAACATTCCGAGACATTTTGACTGTGTGACTGAAACTTGGGTGCGCGTCCCGATGCTAACATTACCCCCGCTGAGTAAGTATTAATAGCATTAGTTGTATTGTTAAGGTACAACGAATTATATCCATACATTTTAGCTCACTTTTAGCTGACTATTTTAACTGTTTACATTTTTGGATTCTTGTACCACATCTGAACATCTTTAGATTATCACTGGATTTAGTTAACGACCGACGGGTGTGTTCAAAGATCAAAGCGTTTCCACGGCAACGCCCTGCCAGTGAATGAGAGACAGTCTGTGTGGTGTCTAGACAGTTGTGTTAAGTTAATTTATTTAGTTCAGTCCTTTTGTCTTTTGCCTTGTCTTGTGATTTCCTGTTTTATTTTGTAGTAACCTTTCCCTCTCGTTTCAGAGCATTCCTGCCCTGGTGTGTTTTTCCCACCAGTGTGATTGTCAGCCCCTCCCTTAATTGTTGCCACCTGTGTCCCCTTACCTAGTGTGTATATATAGTCTGCGTCTCCCTTTGTCTTGTGTCAGTTCGTCTTGTCTCGTCAAGCCTGCCAGTCATCCCTTGATCGTGTGAAGTATATTTTTGATAGTCATGTAGATGTTTTTTTGGTTTAGAGTTTTTGATCCTCCAAGTGAGCGTTTTGTATTTGACCTTAATTAAAAGACCTTGTTAATTCTAATCTGTTTCTGGTGTTGTGCATTTGGGTCCTGAGCCTCGTGACATTCTTAACAGTCTGTCAGAGAATGTATTGACAATATTGTGCTGCATTGTTGCTTCTAAGTAAAAAACTGTAACTCCAATCAGCTAAATATCCTGTATTTAGGATGCCAGATGAACACACCTGATGACTCTCGTGTTTGCTATATGTGGAAGTCCGTTTCCCTACATTATGATCACCAAATTATGTATGAAGAGTGAACATTGTGGCCAGGCGAGAAATAGTTGGAAATAAAACTCTTCAGATTTCCCAGCTCCTCTCCCCTCTAGCTGTGATGTCACTCTAAGTCTTAACGAGCTCTCCCATACACACCGTTATAAAATGTGGAATAGTGTGACATTTTCACAAAACGTAAGCTGCGACTTCGTGAGAACCATACTATCTATCAACAAATCTCAAACTAGTCTAATAAAGTCCATAGTCTCGATAAGAGTTTAAACTTGTAATTTTTGTTCTACGTTAAAGTATGCAGAATCTGTATGGGGTCAAAGTGGGGTGATTTTGAGCTCTGTTCAAATGGATTTCCCATTCATTCCTATGGGGAAAAACGGCTCGGCGAATCTCTTATAAAATACATAGCAACCCGATCCCGGTCATTCCGCACGTTTTGATTTGTGGCAGAAGAAGGAGAAAAATATGATATAAGTATGTTGAATACTATACTGTGTGTGGCTTCACCAGTCACACAGAATAAGCTTTATATTTTATTTTTGTCATGAAAAAGCAAGTTTATATTCACACTGCAAATCATTTCACATAAAGATTTGTCGTCTAATGATTGAGTTGACTTTGATATTGGTCCTGCATAGGGATGGGTATCGTTTGAAATGTATCGATTCCGATTTCGATTCCGGTTCTTATCGATTCCCCGTTTCGATTCCAAAATTGTAAAATAAAGAGGTCAAACGTTTAGATAACAAAAATATATTTATTCTTAAAAGCTTTAACTGAAATTGTTACTAAAAAATATACATGCAATACAAATGTATTGCACAATAGCTGTGCTTTATTTTAACTGAGCTATGCCTGTGGCAAGCTATTAACAGGCATTACACTTTGCCTTTTCTTTTTCTTTTTTAGTGTAGTGGAGCCTCACTTCAGAGTGTTTACCGCGACCTATCTTTGGTGTTATGAAGTGACTGAGCTCGTGAAATGTCTACGGGAGGGCGGGGGAGCATCGCTGCGGGGCAACTGTGGACCTCTGTCGCCTGTCAGCGCAATTTATATGATGCCGTTTAAAAAAATGAAGGGCGGTGCCGGCCGTCAGCGTACCGAGCCGGCCGTCAACGGCCCGCTGACGACCGGCCGTTCTGTGATTCTCCAGGTCCGCCCTGTATTCCACCGGGTCACCGCAGCACCGCGGTGCAGACGGACCCGCTGGAATACAGGGTCTACCGCGTTTAGGAACCGTTAAGCAGAACCGAAATTGTGTATTTTGTATGGGTACCCGGTACCTGGCATTTTCTTATCGGTTCTCATCTGGAACCGAGTTTCGGTTCCCAACCCTAGTCCTGCAGTCGTTTCATTTCTCCACAGCAGAGATTAAGGTCTAATCTCAGTTTTCTGCGTAACCTGCAATGAGAGTTTAATTTTGCAGAGTGCTGATATAGTAATTTAATGTTTCCCTTGATCCTCACTTTTGCGGAGCCAAAATTCAACAAAGTATTAAAAACTGATGCCACTTTAGAGGGGCAATTCTTTGGTAGGTACCTATGCTTTAACTAGGATCACTGCGAGTAGGAACGCGAGTAACTGTCACAAATTGGCACTGAAACATGAGTTTTTCAATATCATGCGATAGTGGGAAAATAACGTAAGAGTAATTAGAAAAACAGTTAAGGGCCAAGGTTGTTGCTCACGTCTGCATGAATCACAGACTATGAGGATTAAGGAGAGAAAGCTACTTCCACACACCAGTAAAGGTCAAACATGCATTGTCCACTGCACATGTTCACTTCCTTTCTCTCTCGTGAACTTTGCTTTATCACTTTTTTTCCTATCCAAGGCCGTGCTTACAGGAAGGCCAGAGGAAGAGAAAGGTTAGAGAACCAAGAGAACATAACTCTGAGGCATGGTAAAGCGACTACGTGGTGTGTAGTTGGAAATGCACTTCAAGAAGACACAACATTACATCAAATGTTAAGATTAAAATGATGTGTCATTTTAAAATACCTCCTTTGAAAAAGATATGTCAAATGCCCTATGGCCAGAACATAACAATATAGAGTGAGGGATAGAGGGGAGTGTGGTGTAAGATGTAAACAACATTGCATCAGAAATAACATCCAGAATACATAGCAAAATCAGGACAATTGCAGACATTTCCTCATCAAATGTTAAACACATGTAATAGTGTTGTATCACAACTTGACCTCAACCCTTTAAAATCAGAATGCCAAACAATGAGAATGTTAGCAGAGTGGTGAAGAGAAACTCTGCACATTCGAAAACACTTTCACCTTGAAGTGTTAGTGAATGGGGGTGTGAACACATTTTGAAACTTTGACCAACAAACACATTTCCCATAGAATCAGCAGTTTGTTTAACTTTCTGTTTAAACCCAAGCACAAGGGATAGCAGAAAAGTGTTACCTTCAGCCCCGGGTCGGGTCATCGGGGACAAAGGTGGTCAGAGGTGAAGGTCCAGGACGTGAGCCATAGGACAGGACAAGGGGTGGGACACACATTGGTGGAGGTCACAGAAAAGACATGGCAGGAGGGAGGGGGGGGGGAGAATAAGGAGGCACAACGAAAAGAATGAAGAGATGTGGAAGGAGAGGGAGAAGGGGGCAGCAACAGGGGAGGATGTTGCAAAGAGTTAAAAAGACAAGGGAGGTTTTGGGAGGTAATGGAGGGACATGGTACCAAAAGGTAAAAAGCGGAGGAGGAAATTGTGAGGAAAAGCGGCAGTTTCGGAGGGGTTGGGAGGAAGAGGCTGAGTCAATTCCTCTAAAAAAAAAACAGAACCAAAATAAAACGGAATGAACCCATACCTTGGTCGTTTAACGTCAGGTGCGCCAGACCTTGAAAGGGAAAAAAACAGAAAAAAAGAACAGAAAGAGGAAGAAAAGAAGGTCATAAAAGGCACGGGAAGAAAAAAAGCATTGTCACAACGTTGGACTGCAGTTTGTGACAGACATCCTGGGGCAGACTTGGATGTCAGAGTTCAAATCAAAGGTAAAAAACGAGAGAGAGAGAGAGAGAGAGAGAGAGAGAGAGAGAGAGAGAGAGAGAGAGAGAGAGAGAGAGAGAGAGAGAGAGAGAGAGAGAGAGAGAGAGAGAGAGAGAGCGAATAGAAACAGAAAACAAGCAAACACTTCTTGAGTGAGGTGTGGGGGGTTAGAAAAAAAAGCATTTTCATTTGGCGCAACCCCCGAAGGCTATTGCTCTCACAAATGCTTTTTTTTCCTCTGGAGTACTTATGGAACACACAGAACTGTTTGGCAGAAAAGAATTGAATTGGATTGATCCTCTACTACTGTACACAAATCATGACAAAAACATCAGAGCTCTTCAAAAGTCTCCCACAGAGCGGGTCAGAGATAAAACTGAAGAAACGCTACAGGGTAAAGTGTTTTTGGGTTGCTCGGAAAAACCCAAAAAACAAGTAACCATTATAGCAAGCCTAAGTATTTAGTTAGCTCACTGGAGGCCACTTTGCACCAACTTGCCAACACTGCAGATCAATAGATTTAAAAGAAACATTTCCACAATGAGCTAACGCTTCTGCATCAGACCACACTACCCATTTCACATTCTGACAATGTCTGTCTTTGGAAATATAATCTAATGCTGTGTTAAAGCCCTGATTTGGCTAACTTCGTCTCATCACCAAGATACCTCCTGTTCCCCTCTGTTCAATCACAATTGTACAGGGAATAATCTGAAGAAATACCTGTTGGAAATGTAAACACAATAGCTGGCAGGGATCATATACTGTAAACATACACGCGCATGTCTTGGGGATAGAATTATCGGAAGCTAACCTTTAAATGAAAAATAAATAACATGGTCTATGGCCTTGAGCAAGATGTACTCCTAAATAAACGGAATGTCTAAAGTAAATTGGATTTAACCCCAGGCAGCACAGAATATCAACAGCATCATGTCGGACTCAAAGTCCCAAAAGGTCAAATCATTTCAAACAGAGATGTCTCTTCTTCATCAATACCATTTCAAACAGAGGTCTCTTGGCACTACCAGCAAACAGGTTCATCATGTTAACCCTTTGCCATTAAGGGAGCGCCTTAGAGTGCTTTACTTTACCGTTAAGAACATTACAACATGCACAACATATTCTGCTATAACAGCTTTTGCTACATGAAAGACCCCTCTAACTTCAAAGACTGATTTTAGTTTTCTTCCAGAAAGATGTATAATGTGTTACTGTATTAATCTTTATAAAATATGAAGTCCTTTTCTAAGTAATGTAGTCATTCTGCAACCACTGTTCTCTGCAGCTGATTTGGAGTGACAGGTTTTGAAGCAACACTTAAAATATGTGGCTTTCACATTCAGACTGGCTATCTGAGGGGCTTCACACCTAAGGATACTTAAGCATTCAGTTGCAGTAAAGAAAGCGAGTGTTTAGTAACCCAAATGAACACACAACTACAGGCCAGCTGCAGCGGAAATTACAAAGTGTGTCTATGCCAACAGCAGCAAGCAGATTAAATATAATGCAACAACTACAGAAGCTCAAATGACTCTTGACTACAAGCTGTTCCTATTGTCTTCTTTCCTAATAACATGTGTGATTCAGGGAAGAGGAAATGTACAGGCAGAGTGTTTTATTTATCTGCCTGCAGTCCGTTTCCTGCCGGCCCTTTGCAGGGAGTCCAATCATTCTCACTCTGCCTCCCTCTGTTTTTGTTCCCTTGCTCATAACCCATTAAGGAGATAAGGCGAAGGCTCCTGCAATGAAACAGAATGGTGCTGTCGCTGCATACAAAATCATTCAAATACACCAACCCGTGGCTTCATCCAGCTCAGGTGGGCAAAAGACAGAGGCACCATTTTATGGCCGAGGAGGACTAGGAAGACAAGGTAAGAAAATATGAAAAGACAGCATCTACACAGCCAGTATAAGCAGATATCTACAGACAGGTCAAAAAGGCAGAGAAAGCAAACAAAGTTTATTCCAAGATAACGTATCAGGGAATACGTGATTTGATCTGTGCAACAGGCCAAACTTCAATTTCCCAAATCAAGAAAACAGGAAGGCCACACACACACAAACACACACAGCCAGTCACACACATGTTGTTGTATTGGCAGAAGCACAGGATGCAAGATTCCTTCTGTCTTAAGTCTGATCAGGATGTGACAGCTTTCGCTAACAAGTGGTTTGAGAGAAAAAAGAGGTACTGAAACTCAAAATTGAAATGACTGATCACTGAAGACATAAGGAAAGGCTCCATCTCCCTTTAATTATGCCTTGATATTGGATCACAAATACATTCACAGCAGCATCACATACTGGGAACGTGACACAATCCGTGCCCAAACTATGTCCCCATCTCCTTGTCATCTGATTACCTTTAATTCGGCGGTGAGTGAAGATGGGAGTGTCTAACGGAACCGCCGCCAATTGGTTGGTTATGATTGAGTGGCAGATGGAGCAGGGTCATAATTCTGCCATTAGAAGGAGCTCACGTCTTATCTGGCCGACTCCTCTTCCGTTTGATTTTTTCGCCCATTTGCCCACCTTTTGGCTGCTCCTCGTCTCCTCACCCAGCCATCCATCAGCCAGCTGCGGCTGCCTTCTGCTCTCCTCTTCCTCATCTGCCATTTTCTGTTGCTATACTTACAGGTCTGATGAACACAGGCCACTATTGTTTTGCAAACTACTGATTTTATTAAAATTCCTGCTGGTGGTTTGGTCACCAATGTACTGCTATATACTGCATGATAAAGACAGGCAATGTCCATTAGTTATATGACTATATAAGTCCATGAATACAAAAAACGTTCCTTAAACTAAATGAATGTTTTCTGCCATCTAAAAATAATAACTGAGGTGTCTTGCATTTCTTTGTTTTGAAAGCAGCATTTGATAGGTACAGCATGCTCTTGAATGACCTTGTGAGACATTCCTCCGTCACATCATCCTACACACATGAACAGATGTGCTAGGCAGCTTTCATTTTAACGCCTTTTTTCCCCAACCACACTTCCTCTCACCTTCCCTATCTGTCGCTCATCAGATGGACACATAGACTAAGTCAGAAGGAAGAGTGTGTTTGCTTCCCGAGCCCCCTGATGGAAGGACTCTCATCAGCATAAAGCCACTGCACTCTACGTGCCTTCTGATGGCACATGTCATACTGACTCAAAACCTTCTTCTTTCCTTGCAGATGCCAACATTGTAGGCCGTTAAAACATATTTCTTGACAGCACTGCCTTTGATGACTTTAATGGGAGCGAGCATTCACAAAAAGGCAAGCAATATTGAAGTGTGTTAAAGTCATGAAGCATAACATAAGAACAATAAAAGGTTTTATGTGCAGCTTATGTTGGGTGCACCCTTGGCACACGTTATGAAACTCCACAATATCCAAAACATTTGACACATCCACAAATCACTTGCTTTTACTAGGCCTGGGCAGAAATAAAGTGTCGCTGCGTGATCATTGCTGCATGTCTTTCATTGCCAAAAAAGTGCAAGCACGGCTCTCGAGGACTCGGAAACAAACCAGCAATTTGTAAAAACATCTGCTTAAAAGATGTGGGGAAATGGTTCTGATTGAATGTGAATAACATCCATCTCAGTGGGCTGATCCATAATGCATAGTGTCTTTGCCCAGCTTAAGTAATATAGAAACTGTGGCAGAATTTAAAGTGCTTTAATAATTCATTGTGGATATCTATTCTCTGAGCGAGAGAAAGGATGAGATAGTGGGAGGTAAGGGACTGAGAAGACTTCTACAATCTTGCTGAGAGTTATAGACTGCTGTTAAAGGCTTCCACGTCTTAAAGCCCTTTAAATTATTAACATAGAGCTTGACACATTTTAAAAAGGAAGAAACATGTTTTATACTCATAAAAAAGAAATAAAGTGAAACTATTGCACATTGAGTCCACAGCCACTTACCGACACTATGGAGTCAAAGTCTACAGCTTGCTGTGATTTTAATAAAGGATAAACGACTAAAGCAGCGATCACGCACGCACGCACGCACGCACGCACGCACGCACGCACACACACACACACACACACACACACAAAAGGTATTCTCTTACATGTAGCTCTGTATGTGTGTGGCAAGAATGAAATGATCCTACTCTGCTCAGACTGGGCAGTTGTTGCTGTATTATACACGAGTAGGTGGGTCATTTCTGAATGTACAGATCTGTAAAGCTTTCTTCTTCAGAAGAGCCGTATATATAGCTCAGGGTGTGAAGCAACCGCACACTGGGCTTTTTCTCACAGCCGTGAACACACTCTGCCTTAGTTATCATTTGAGGGAAATACTGCTGTGTATTCTAAGAAATGGTCACAAGCTGCTCTGTTCAACATCAAAATGCATTATTGATGTTTCAGCCAAAACACAAAAAATAGCAAGGCATGCAGAGTTGAAGCCGGATCAATTACCTCATGCCTGCACTGTTCCTCAATCAAATAGCTACGCGAACACTGCACATATGGTTCAAAATAGAAGCTTTTGTCATCGCTGAAATTGAGTCAGACAGTGTTCTTTCAAGAACCGTGTCTGTCTGTTCAGTATAAACACCTATGCTGCATGTCACTGGAGTTTATTATGTTTTGCTCATACATCACACTGTGAAAAGCGTAGGGTTCTAAACTGATAGATTATTTTTTGATTTACTGCAAGCAGCTATATTAGTCAGGTTTTGGTCAAAGTCTAATGTTCAGAGATGTTGAGAAGTCTAGCTGCAGCTTGGGTGTAAGCCTGTGGTTGAGTCACATGTTAGTAAATCTAGTTTTGGTTAGCTCTAGAGCAGGGGTGTCAAACTCAATTTCATCGCGGGCCACATTTGCATAAAGGTTGCACTCAAAGGG